ACTCTTTCAAGGCTGAGCTACTTGCAGTTCTGTTTGCTATATATACTATATCTAGAAATTGTAATATTCAAGCTTTTACAGACTTGCAATCTGTTATATTCAAATATGATAACTTAATCTAACAAACAAATAGTCTCAATTTTTTAAATATACTATATTGGTCTTTATAAAACACACTTCTTAATTTTATCAAATTCTATAACCTTAAAATTATATTTTATAAAGTAAAAGCATACTAGAACAATCTATTTAACAACAAAGTAGATAATCTGGCTTGCAATTATCTTAACACACTACCTCTTATATTCAATCTCTATGATATCTATAATTCTCTTTATTTAGAAGATTCTCCTCCCAAACTCCCAGTATATCACAATATCTAAACTATATACTATGCAAAAATCTTGGCCTTTTGGTCATTACAAAACTATTTCTAGCCTTAAATACAAATCTTTCAGTATTTAAACTAAAATACAACTTGGGTCTACCTTAACAACAATCAAAAAGTCTTTAACTTTGCCTACAGCTATTAGTCTTCTACTCTTAAAATGTTCTAAATTAAACTTTTTATTATAAACTTTCTGCATCTCATATACAGCATAAAAGAAATCTTCTCTATTCAAATACCTGTTATATATATCAACAAATAAGCATTTAATTACACTGTACTATATGTCTATCTCCTAATCAATTTTTCTTACTCATTAAAAACTCTCTACAATATACTCTAATTGCTAATAAACTTCAAGTTTCTTTATCCCAAATTAATCTTCTAAATACCAAAATTGTTAATCTTAATAGCTTGCTATCATACAACTCTACTAATAAACCTTCCATATTCTTCACACTTTTTAGTTTAGTCCTTCTTGATATTATATATACAATATATAATTTTACTATTTATAACAAAATAGCTAATACAATCTATATACAATTTCTTCTTCATATTAATAAACAACTCTACTCAAATATTAGAATCTCATACTATAGTTTAAGACCCTAACTCTAATCTATACAATTCCAACAATTGCTCTATCTAAACCTCCAACCAATACACTTTTATATCTGATATCTTTAACATTATTTTTAAAACATCTTCTCTAAAAATAACACTTTGGTATTCTAACTAGATTAAATACCAAACACACTCTTCATACTTTTAATCTATCTCAAATCTAGGTAAGCTTTGGCTACTCTGGTAAGTTTAGGCCACAAATAAATATTTAAACTTAATTTTATTAGGTTCTGAATATCTGTATTCTTATTCTTAGCACTAAACTTAAAATATAAAACCTTTTCCAATTATGTAAAAAGTTTTTATTAAGTTTAATAAAAATAAGAGCAAGGTCTCATCTTAAATATTAAAAAAAAAACAAAAATAAATAATTTGTTTTTGAGTATAAAATATGATAAAAAGAAGTTTTTATATGATGTAATTATAGAGGAGGTGACTGTAGAGAGGGATAACTGTATATATATTATAATTTTGAATAATAAAAATAAAAATATTATATATTAAATAATTTTTTTAATCGTAATTAACAAATTTTTTTTAAAATTATTATATAAATTTTTAAAAATATATAACTATTGATCCACTAATCCAATTTTAATAATATAACTATTAAAATAATCTTCTTATTTAAAAAATTCTAACGAATTCAAAATTATTAAATTTGAATAATCTAATCATAAGATTGATAAAAAATTTGTATTATATAATTAATAAGAATTGCTAATCTTAACTAGGAGAATTTTCTTACATATCATGTGACTTATAATATATTTAATTTATTGTATCATATAACTAATACTGTAATATATATTATATAATATTATATAGTATATAAATAACTAACTACTAATATATGTTATATGATAGATATACAATAATCAATTAATATACATAACATGGCATTATAAAATAAAGCTAATATGTATGATAAAAAAAAATTGATATAAAAGTAATATATATGTGTGTATGTATATATGTATATACATGTGTATATTAGCCAGTAAGGCTTTGAATATAACATTCATAATAAGAGGTCTATGTTATTGAGAAAAAGTGAACCTTTAGATTACATTAAAGCAATTAAATTATGACTTATAAAAAAAAGCATGATTATAGAGTACTTGTAGAAAGTCACTATCTGTTTAAAAAAACAGAATATCTAAGATATAATATAATACAATATCATAGATTAGAACAAATTAAGATAATACAGATAACTTACAAGACAATCTCAACATAGTTGTTTAATCTAAAACTTGTCTTACCCTAATACAAAAAAGGTTACATTAAATTAGCTATAAACTATAATAATAAGAGTTGTGTGAGATTAATTAATGAATATTTCAAGAAAAATTCTCTAAAAATATATTTATCAATTGCTATTACTATTAATTCAAATATTGTGCCTAGCCAAGGTATTAATATTAGTATAGCTAGAATATAAATCTAATATTTAAATTAATTTTGCTTATTTATAAAAGACAACACAACAAAATTTTTTAGAAATAATTACAAGCAAATTAAAATTTATAATCTAAGTATATATAACCTAATACAAATAAACTATATCATTAATATCTAATATACAAGCTATATACTAATCATTATTAATTTTTAGCTTTATAGGTAGCCTGATTATAATTCTTTTTGTCATATTTTTTATTGTCAAATAGTTGGATATTTGTATTAGTATAGACAAATATTGATGCTTTTTTGCGTACAATTCTTGAATTTCAATATCACTTTTCACTCTACTAGGAGGTCTTTCTCTTCTTGCTGAAATAATAGGATTGGTGACTAGAATATTTTTAGATTCATTGCCTTTATTTAATGTTAACTGTTTGTTTGTAAGAAATTAGTAACACAATCTGATTAATTCATCATATAAATTACTATTAATAGTGATGTCGATAACTTTCTTCATTAATCTGTGTGCATTACCATATTTTGATCAGATATTGTTTATATTTCAAAGAGCCAGAGTATATAATTCATCTTCTCAAAATTGTGTTATGTATTTAAGATTAAAAGTGTGATTAGTTGTAGTATAATTATTAGATGATAGTTCTATATATAATGAAATAGGATTATATTGCCCTAAAGATCGTGGTTATTATTAGTTTTGTTATCTCTATACTACTGTTTTAACACAAGACTAATGTGCCATTGTGCTTATGAAAAAGTTCAAAGAATCTTGTAAAAATAATAATATAAATCACCATATATAATTAATATGTTACAAATACACCTATGTGAGCTATCTAAGATTAATACCACAAACTGAGATTTTGTGCTACATAAAAAAGTAAGATGCCAAATTTTAAGAATTTTTGATTTTTTAATTGTTTTTAAAATATCTGCTAATAAAACTTGAGCCAATTCATAGTCATCTCTATGTGCTTGTTTATTTATATTATCATCCAACTATATCTAAATAAAATAAAAATAGTTAGTTCAAATTTGAAATAAAACAAAATTGAAATGATTAAATAACATACTTTTTTAATTGAATCCCAATTGGCAAGATCAAGCTTATAAGCATCATAAAAAAAGCATTCTTGTATTTGTTTATGAATACATATTGATGCTGGTTCTGTTAGATATTCATTTACAATAATACTTAAAGAATTAAAAAAAGTTTTAGATATAGTCACAACTCTAACTATTGGTATTTGATGTTTATACTCTTCAGCACAAGTATACTCAGATTCTTTATTAAGCAGATCTTGAATTTCTTTAACAAGAGTCATCAAAGAAGAATTTGCTCTAGCACTATTATAGATTTTCTTATTAAAACTTTCAACCTATTGTGTACTATTTGCTTCTGCAGTAAATTAATTGTTAATATAACAAATTGCTTATTTTATTTTAAAAGGCTCAAGTTGATATTTGATATAACTAGTGGCAACTATATATTTAGACTTAAGCAATTCAAATCTGTTTTCAAAAGTTTCAATTACTATTATATTTTGGCATATATAAAAATCTTTAAGAAATTCATTAAATTAGACAATATTCATCTTGTTTTTTAAGTTTTTTTTTTAGATTAAAATTGATATGAAACAAATATAAGCAATGTAAAGACTTTGAAAAGACTGTTAAAATCACATTTGATATTGCTAAATTAGAATCTGTATAAATTACTTATAGTGCCAAATTATCAGTACATTTATTAATCATACTAAGGCCCAAGTAAAACTCTCTTTAGTTTCATTCTCTAATAAGGCAGTAGCAACCAGATATGTATGGTTACAATTTTTAACAGCCACAAAGAAGCATGCAACCATATTGTATTTATTGATATCAAAAAAAATAATATTATAAAATCTTGTCCAAATATATTGTAGTTCAGAGAAAAAAAAAATAAAACTATATAGCCTTCATTCAGGACTATCAAATCTAGCTTCTACAAACTATCTAGGATTATTAATTTTAAGATTATGCATATGCACTAAAAGATTTGATATATCCAATTCATTACTTAAGAAAAGCTTCTTTTTTGCCTTCTGAATTGCATTATATAAATTTTTCTTATTAATTTTTTGACCTAGAAATTTACTCTTTAGAAGTTGCTCTATATTTCTTGCTTCAGTTGTACTATGTGTTATATAAAAATTAATAAATTCTAATATATCTTTGCCTAATTTATGATAGTTTAAAATAGTTATTGATAGTGCAAGTAACATTGAATAGTTATATGAATTTTATAGCAGTTGTAAATATAATTATAATAATGATTTAGGCATATTCTTATTAACTTGCTATTCACATCCAGTACACTTTGATTTATGATTCCTTTGGTCTTCTGGATTTAAATTTTTTTGGGTTTATAATAACTGGTACAACTACATTCCCAGCTAACTTTACTTAATACTTGTTTGCCATCCTTAAGATATGATTCAGTATGTTTTTTTTTGAATACTAAAACCTTGTCATAGTCTATATTCTTTAAAAAGATCTCAATATCATCTCATGCTTGAAATGTCTAATCTTTATAAATTTTTAAAGTGTGCTTCTTATCATCTTCTTCCTCAGAAGAATCTTTATTGAATACTTCAAATATCTTAGATTTATAAGGTAAACTTATAGAAAGTGGCTTTATCTTAGCTAAGTTATTTTTAAAAAAGAATTGTGTTGCTTTATCATTTCTTATATTAACACTACTTTCTTCACCACTTTTTTTAGTTTGTAACATATTCATAGTGAATATATTTCAATAAGCAGAAAGTTTGGTAGAAAATTCAATCTTTTAGTTTTTAGAAATGGTGAAATTATAAGTTCTAGAGACAGGCAAAACTCAAATTTTAAATATGTTTTTAATAGTATATTATGTCAGTCAAGTATAAAATAGCATAAAATTAAAGAATATTGCAAAATTCTTAGACATATCTAAAACTCTTACCTTTATCAGTCAACACTATTTTGTTTTTTTTTATTTTATTTTTTTTAATGTTTAAGGTGAGACTATGCTCTTATCTTTATTAAACTTAATGAAAACTTTTTACAGGATTGGAAAAGGTAGTCAATACTATTTTGTTTTTTTTTTAATATTATGGTAACTACTTAAGCTATTGGCATGATCTTTATTCAGATATGATATTACATCTATTTCACGTGGATACAACTAGCCACACGTGCATCTTTTGGGTACCTAATTTAAGTAGTCCACCTAGGTTCTATACTAGCACCATATCTGCAATCTAACTAGGAGATGACCTATCTTATTTAAGCTCTCTGGTTATTTCTAATGAGAGTATGACTAGCTATATATGCAACTTTTAGTTGCTTATTTAAGTAGTCTGCCCTAGGTTCCACACTAGCTACCGTACCTATAACCCAACTAGGAAGTTATTCATTTAAATTCTCTGGCTACCACTTTTATAACACACCCTACTCTAACACTCATACAAGATTAGCAATTGCTGTAGATGACTCTAAGACTTTATCCAAACTATATTGGGACATTTATCCTTGTAGTAAACCTAACAGAATGGTACATGTCCTACTCTTGTATTTATCTGCATATTCTGATAACTTTCATCTAACTAGTACCTGTTGTGCTGCTACTATCAGGTTCATATCTCAAGCTATCTTTTCAGATACTGCCGTAATCTAATCCATATATATCTCAAGCTACAACCTTTCTAATTAGAATCCCATTATGTACTCCTTGCTCTTGTGAGGTTTACAACAACCCCAATACCTACATTTCA